CCAAATTTGGTGATGTTTAGCATGAACTGCTTTAAAATATCAACCCAATAAATTTTAACCAAAATATTAAGTACTTAGTACCCTCCGCTAAGGCCACTATAACACTAAATTAAAGATCGAAGCTTGCAAGCAATTTGTTCAGTCTTGCTCATGGGTCTAGATGCGTCTGTTGTATAACATGCCATTAGAGAAAGCTTGCATTTTCTTCAAAATTTCAGAAATTTTTTTAACGTTTTTCTAACGTTCAACGTTAACTATCTCGAAGTGAAAGAGCATGGGTAGTGTTTTTCGTCACCTTGTCAATCGATATTTTATTTTTTCGATTGAATATACTCACAAAGTTAGTCTCACAAGATTTAAAGCCTAATATATATATAAAAAAAATTACGGTTTAGTAAAGTTCTAGTAAATGAAAATTCAGTGCTCTAACTGACAAACGACGTGCTTTCTAAAGAGGTATGGAAAGTTCATTTTAAAGAGACTTATGATCCGTTTATAAAATTTAAAAAGAAATAGAATTTTTTTCTCGTTTGAGATACTTTTAAAACTTTTTAATAATAAATAAAATAAAAAAAAATAAAAATAACCATTTCTTTTTTCCAGGTTAAATTTTTGAGGATTTAATAGCAACCTTTTTTTCTTTAATTGCATAACATTGTTAGACATTTTTAACGTTTTAAACCATAAATGTTCTGAAGCCTTAAGACATCATACCTGCCAGCTCTTCCGGAAGATTTTATTTTCATATTTAAAGTGGTAGTAATTATATAGGGGAGAGTGGGGTCAATTGTAACAGGGTACGATTGTAACAGAGCAAAAATTTCGAGTGTCGGGTTCTAGATTTGGTTCCTAGGTGGCGCACAAGGTGTATTTAATAAATCTACATGTACACCCCTGATGGCAACCATTTTTATGTACTTTTGAAAGAGTTACATCACAAAAGATATTTTCACGCCACGCAAGTACTTTTTTTGGTATTAGAATATTATATTGTAACAAAGTAATTTTGTTTAAACAAATAAAAATTAGTAACCGAATATGTAAGTGGACACTTTAATTAACATTTCAATAAAAAAAAGATTAGTTTTGCTAATTAACTAGCATTGTTTTTAACAAATGAAGCTGAAATGGCGTCTTGGGGACAATTGTAACAATAAGTAAAGGGGCGATTGTAACAGCTGAAAATAAATAATCTTATGTTTACAAACCATTACTTAACTCTTTAAGAACCACTAATAGTTTCCTATATCATTTATATTATGTTGCATGTGCATTATTTTATTTGTCACCTTTCACAGCATAAATTAAAATTTTTAACCCCTTAAAGTTAAAAGTTTAACCCTTTAGGTCTCTGCTCATTATTATTTTTACTCCTAAAATATCACTACTATTTTGATCAATAAAAAAATATATCACAACTATGATAATATGTATAATTAACTATGTTTTAGTTGAATTTATGAACTGTTACAATTGACCCCGTAAGTGGGGACAATTGTAACAACTGCGCGACTGTCAAAAATTGTTAATAACTAATAAAATAACATCTAAAATAAGGTATTTATTTTTTTTTCTAGTAGAGGATAGTCTACTTTACTCGTCTGTCAATTAATACTAATAATATATTGGATTTTTTGTTAGTTAAAAATAGTTAAGTAAAAAATGTTACAATTGACCCCACTCTCCCCTACTATTTTTTCTTTTATAATCTTAATTTTTATAATCTTAATATTTGTTTATAATATTGATAACCACTATTCTTACAAAAATTAAGCACATATATTAATATACGTTATTATCATGGTTGTCAACTTAAGTTTGCTCATATACAACGTATTTGTTTGCTTAAAATTGAAGTTTTAATTCCATTTTAATACCACTGGGAAAAATTATAATGGAAGGGATTAAAAGTTGGCAGGTATGAGACATACCTGCCAACTTTTACGCATTGGGCGTAAAATTTTATTTTTATCTGTAAAGTGGTAGTTAAAAGTATGCTTTTATTGCATTTATAACCTTAATTTTTAATCTTTTTGACCACCACTATTTTAAAAGTAATTAAGCATATATATTAATATGTAATACTGTTTTGGAAGTCTGTATAAGCTTTTCCAAAGTACAGTGTATGTTTCTGCCTAAAATTGTAATTTAAATTCCATTTTACTACCACAGGGGAAAATCATCCTCGAAAGGATTAAAAGTTGGCAGGTATGCTTAAGATGATACTAAGTTGAACCATATTATCCTACTACTCAAACTTCTATGGTCTGATTTAAATAATAGCATACTTCACTTTAATACGTTATTAAGGCTGCAGGAAATTATGGTTAAATGTTGAACCGATATTTGGAAATGGGTAAGGAAAATATTTAGTTTTCCAGTTTAAAAAAAAGTATCTACTGTCATTTTTGCTCGGTGCATTTTAAAGGCTGTTAATTAATTTCATTTTGTGTGATCTCCAAAAGAAAAAAAGAAACTTTAACGTTTAACAGCAAGTCATTAATAGCAACAATTTAGATCTTATTTTATTTACTAACTTTTTACTGGCTATTAATAATCTCCAAATTCAATAATGATTCAATTTTTTAATTTTAAAATTTTTTTTTAATGTCAGGATTTTAAATATAAAATATCTCTTAATCGCATTATTTTTGATTTTTATTATGGAAGTCTATAACCAATACCTACTAGAAAAGAGAAGGCCTCAGCACTGATCAATTTAGTAGTCCGACTAACCGAACTTAAAATGCGCAGTAGAGAAAAATAGGAAAGATATCACTACAATCGGGTTACTAAGCTGCGCTGAAGTGTTTAGTACGAAATATGTCTGTATGTTTGGACTACTAACGAAACACATTTCTTGTTTATGGTAACCCGTGCTGTGGCCTTCTTCGTTCTAGGAGGTATTGCACCAATTCCATACTTCTTGCATTGTTTCAATTTATGTGTTAAATGCTGCAGATCAGTCTGTAGTATAACAGAAGTCATTCCTGGGTCATCGAACAGCGATTAACTGACAGCATCCGATTTTTTTGGTGACTACTTGTGAGGGAGCAAGTTGTTACGGCTTGCAAAAGCCAAATCTTCCAAGTCGCCAAGTTGGCTGAAAAACATGGATGGCCCTTACGATCTGTATAATGTAAGTAATTCATTTTTTATTTCCTTTTACATTACATTAATTATTATTTTAAATGACATGTTTTTCAAATATCCAGGTATAAAAAAGTAAAATTTGTGCTGGTCACAAAATTTTAAAGTAGCGTTCAACTGGTTTAAAAAGCTCAAAATGTCTGATCTCATTTTTACTTTTTACAGATCGTAAAAAAGAAGTGTTTTTCTAAGTATCAATTCTCTAGTACATAATCACAAATTAATTTTTATTTATTTATTTTTAGCTATTCAAAGCACCAAACCGCAAATACAAAGCACCGAGCTTAATGAATCTCTCTGCAGCAAATTCAGACAGTCAAGAAAGGTTGTTAGTAAAAAAATTGCACTTTTATTTATTGGTTTATTCATTTATTTATTTTTAAAAAAAAACCTGTTCTTAAAGAAGGTTGCTTTTCACAAATGGATTAACACTAAAATTTAATTATTCATTAATTGTTGAACTTGCTATTCAAAGTAAATTACAAAATAAGTTCTTTAATTTTCTTTTAATGCTTTTAAAATATTTTAAAAAATTACTTTTTTCAAAATAAATATTTTTTTTTTATCACAATTATTCTGTTTAATTTATTCATTTGAGAAATTGGTCTTGAGAAAATGCAAGAGGATATGGTTTGAAAAAAAAAGGAAGCAAGTTTTAGGATTTATGACATAATTACTTTTAATAACTATTAGGCGATCTTTTCTTTTAAATTGTGCAGCGTCCGATAAGCGAATGTAAATTAACAACGAATTTAAATTTAAAGGGTATGAAATATTAAATTTCAGTCGTAATTTTAATTTAAAGTTTTTAAAATTAATTCAGATCTTTCCTAAAAAAATTATTAGGAATGAGCATTACATACAATTGTTATAATTTACTTAAGAAATATTGTTTTTTCTAGTCTAATAATTTAATAATTGTTGCACGTCAATTTCTTCTTTTTTTTTTATATGTAAAATGCTACGGCCCCTGCTTATTTACTAGCATATAGAAACTCTAGTGAATTAATAGCTCTAGTCAACTAAAAAATTTTATAATTTTAATACATGCACTTACAGTAGATTTTCGTGTTAGAGATTTTGCCATTTTGTACGGTCGCGGAGAAAAATTTTTCTCCCTAGTAATAACATTTACGTTTTAATGCATTTTTAAAATTAAATTTTAAATTGTTGCATCTAAAATTGCAAATCAATCATGTGTACATAACGTTTGCATTAGATCGACAACTATGCTTATTAAGAATTACAATTATGTATAGACGAAATTTTCAAAATTTCAGATCTTCAGAAATTGTAAACTTTCACAAAATACTTTACAGTCATTGTTTCTCAACCTTTTTTTGTATTTCGACCCCTCTAATAAGTTAAAAAGAGAAATGATTCTCAAACCCCCTGCTCGGAAAAAAAACCCCAAGAGAAATTATTTATTAGTATCAAACGTGGAGCCACTTATGGACAAACTTTTACTAGGAAAATTAACTCAATCCTTCTATTAATAGTATGCATGACATGACAAAATATAATCGTAGTCAGCAGTAACTTATACTATAACTTCTTTAAAATACAAATTTTTGTTTTGAGCTTTAGAAAATTTGTTTTTTATTTATAGGAATTTTTATTTTTAACTTCCGAATCCCCTGGTTGAGAAAAGCTGCTTTTAGTATTGTTATTCTACCACTTTGTAAAATTTTTAATAACGAACATGGAGATAGTTGGCAGCCATAATATATATATATATATATATATATATTCATGAGATATTTGCATTGAAAAGTTTCTGAATGACATAGATTTTAGAGATACAAAGAAAGCCAAGTAAAAAGTAATACAAAGTNTATATATATATATATATAGCAGGTTGCTCTTTAAAAAACTCTTTTTATTTTCTCTTTTGAAAGTCGTGCATATTAAAGTGTTATAACATTTTATGATTCTTCAAAGTTTGAATATATGTGTTACAACGTTGCACAATTTTTTCTGATTATATTAAGAAGGATTTTATTATTATCGCCACATTATCGCAATATCTCATATCGTATCGTATATCTCATTATCGCAACATTACATTATTTTGCTTCAAGTCCATGGAGATGTGTTGGGATATTTAAATATGTTAATGTTCTTACAACATTATAAAATTTTTTTTGATTTCATGCATTTGTATTTAAATATTTAAAACTGTCAATATTATGTGTTCTCAAAAGATGGCGCAACAGTCGACCATTTTTAGAATTAATGCTGAATGAATATCCATAAATATTGTGCCCTTGACAGACTAATGAACTCACAGTCTCGGACAAGTACTCGTCGTAAAGCTCAAACTGAGTTATGCCAAATAAATTGGCAGGACATGTTAAAAAAAAATCCTTTTTAACTAAAATGAAGTTATTCATTCATATATATATATAACAGAAAAATGTAGTTTTGCCATCTGTTTGTGCAAAGCAGAGTTGGCAGTAAGTGAATCTTTCACTGCAAAACACACGATGACCTTATTGTGTCCATTAGGCTTGAGGGTGGTTGGTCGTTGTGGGGAGGATCTCCAGTTGGTGAATTGGCCGTGTGATTCGTGTCTCCACCCTTGCTAGGGCTCAGGGGTTGGTCAGAGGGCGAGCCGAGGTCCGCGGACGGACCTCGACTCTGCACCAGTCACCTTTGCAGAGGATGCCTTGTGGGCTTGTTGTCTAGAATCTTCTCGATTTCGCTGGATATGTTGGTCGTGAGCTTAGGAATAATCTGCAGTGAAAAGACATGCATTTTAGATGAATGAATGTAATTCGAATGGCATAATTGCAGTTATTATGCCAAAAAGTGACATTTTAAATATTTAAGATATCATGATATTGAAAAAGCAAGACAAGACTGCGGCAACTTTGTCTCATTTGAAACAAGTTTCTGTGAGTTAAGCAAGTTAAAACGCTCACCGAATGCGGCGAAACATTTTAAGTATATACGATAATTAGAGCGTTCGCCTTCCAATGAGGTGAACCAGATTCGAATCCCACCCATGGCTGGTCGGTACGAATCCGCGTCCGGCTTGCACCGACCACACTGCTGATGTGAAATATCTAGAGATGCCAACTTACTCCGGACAGTGAATAGATATTTTTAAGTGGTAGCTTATTAATTGTAGTTCTTGGGGAAATAAATTTAATTTATTAGATTTTTATATACCACTATTTCTAAATTATTCGTAGGATTATATAATTCACCACTTTTTATAGTTATGTCACTGGGAAAATAAACAGTGAAGCAAGTGAACTGCTTGAAAAAACAAGAAACTATAACCAGCAAATCAAGTCTGAAATGCAGACTACATCAGCGGAAGTCACTGACACAGAAATTCATGAAAGCGGCCGGCTTTTGGAGCAGACAGTGAGTGTGTCATCCGTAGATTCGGAAAGTTCATCCAAAAATATCACCGAGCCCCCCCTCAAAAAACGAAAACGTAAAAAGAGAAAGAAAAACAAAGCTACAAAGCCTGTTGAAAATTTATCCACTACTACAAATATCAGCCCTCCACCACTACTAGATGTCGCCACTTCCTTGCAGCAATCTGACAACGAAGAAAATCCTGACTTGACCCAACCCATGGAGGATTATAATTCAGCTGCGGCTCCACCCACAATTTCAGAAACAGAACCACCAATCATGCATATCAAAGTTCTAGTCCGTGGACTCACAGCATGTACCAATACAGATCATATCTCCCGTGAATTGGCCAAGACAGGCATTATAACAAGCAAAGTGATTCAGTTTAAAAGAAAAGTGGGCGAGGCCTATCGGCTCCTCCCACTCTTTCTCACAATATTGATCAAAACAGAACAAAATAACCAAATCTACTCAGTAACCAATATTTGTGACCTTCCCGTGAAAATTGAAAGATTTCGTGGAGGGAATAGCCCAATACAATGTTATAACTGCCAGAATTTCGGCCACACACAACGAATGTGCAAATCTCAACCAAGATGTCTAAAATGTGCCGCCGACCACCGTTCCTATCAGTGCCATAAGGATAAAACTTCACCACCTAAATGTTGCAACTGCGGAGAAGCACATACTGCAAATTACACAGGTTGCAGCAACCGTCCCCCCAGGAGAGGCCTTCGCGCAACTTCTGATAAAATCCCATCAAGAACGATAGGTCAAGCCCATAGACTTGCATCAATTATCAAAGAACTTAAAGAACTCTTAAAAAACCGAGATGTATTTCAACTGCTGCAAACAATTATGAGGGAGACTACTCCGGAATAATTTCACTTTAGGACTAAAACTGAACTCTTCTCTGACTTTAAATATGCATCTCTATAAATTACAATTTAATAATCTTGAATGCTTCACACTAGATTACGCCACTAAGGCTTCGCAAAATTTGTAATTTCTTCCTGATTCTGATTACCGATTTTGTATATTCTTTGCTATCATCAACTCTGATTCCTGGCTCTGTAAATATTTATGCTTTCATCAATTTGTCTCCCGATTTTATATATACTTACGCTATCATCAACATTAAACACTCAATTTCAAATTTCTACTGATCATCAATGTAAATATCACAGATTAAGTTTGTATATCATGTTTTCATATCTAATCATGGCTATTTTCAATTTTCTTTGCAATTCATGTAAACCTTCGATCTAGTTGTACTTTCTAGTCATGGCAATATTATTATGTAACCATACTATCATATAACTCAAAATGACTATATACACTGTATTATTTTCATGATGGATGGGTTAGAGGCCGCTGCGCGGCCTAGGTACCCAATTTATTTTAAATAAAGTAAGTAAGTAGTTATGTCACTCTAGACTCTTCAAAAAGCAGGCAAAATTAGTCAAGTAATTGCAAAATTTAGTTTGTAATTAATTTCTGTTTTTTAAATTATTTTGGCGTGTCCGGAGCAATTGGCATCTCTGAATATCCTCAGTGGTAAACAGGGCTGAAAGCCCTTATTCAGCAAGACGGAAAAGAGCAAATACTGTTACGAAGGACATTTCATTTTAGCATTCTTTTCGAGAAAAATAAAATATCTGTAACTATCAAGATTTCTTTTATAGCTTTAAGATATAAGTAAAACTGCCTCTTTTTCAAGATAAAGTAGATATTGTTGAATAGTTTTAAAGAAAAATAAGTAAACTCCTGGGGAAAACTAGCAATAACTGAAATGGTTTTACTACCAGACTTTCCCCATTTCCGTCTCGCTTTCACCCCTGGTGGTAGACGGATCATGGGTTAGAGCCCCTTTTGCTGTCAGGCTAACCATGGTAGGTTCTCGTGGCCTTCCTCTCCATATAATGCAAATACGGGTGAGTTCTCTCAAAAAGTCCTTCACGAAGGCAAATTTCTCCCGATACTTGATCCAAGAGTTCCCTTGTTTTCTGGATCGGGTTCAAAATTACAAGGCTACGGAGTTAAACATTAGTAGTAGTAAACCCAAAAAATTGGGTCGGCTGTTCATTGACTGTTATAAAATATAAAAATATACTATAATTATGTCTCACACAAAATCACACACCTTTTTTTTAAAAATTAAATAGTAGCCGAAATGAGAATATATTTATAACACAACTTCTTTTCCATCATGTATTTAATATAATTGTTATAGTTCTTTTTTAATGTTCATTCATGAATTATTATTTGGCATTAGATAACATGAAAAAATATGAAAGTTACTGTGGGTAATAGTAGTGTTACTAAACTACATTTGCTTCAAAAATATGAATATGATAAAAGTCGACGTGTTTCAATTGTTCATAAATAGGTTGCCATTTTCAAGATCTTGCACGCGTGAATGAGGAAATCAAAAATAATTAAAGACATAAAATGCAAAGCTACTTTACAATCAAACGTGATATAAAACATAAAACGTAAAGTGACTTCACATTTTATGATTCAAATCACTTATGCTTTCTCCATTCAAGCCTGGCAATTCTTGAAAATGCGAGATTATTTTTGAGAACTGGAACATTTCAACTTTTATTACAATCTTCATATTTTTTTTAAGTGAATGAAGTTTTTAATCTAGTATGCATTTTTGCTGCAGTTTCTTCTGATTCCTTATTTAGTAATAGTTTAGTTAGAAAAATAATATTTTTCAATGTATTTAATTAGACTTTCTTAAAGTCAACCTTAAGCCTCTTTTTTCTCATTTATTAATTTCTTGTCTTTTATTTGTACTATTATTGTTATAAGTAAAAGGAAACGAATGCTCATAAGCATGTACAAGTCTCGATTGACAATTTTTTAATTTTTAAATACATAACCCTCTAAGCGTTCAGCCCCTGGGTGAAATTGCACAAAAATTTTCCTGTTATTGCCTTTCTATCCCATTGAATAACATGAAGGAAACCGGTTCTTTGATTAAGTAAAGCCTGCAGCTAAAAACACAGGACGCAAACTTACAATCCAGCTGCCTTTAGAACTCTCTCTCCCTTTTGGAGGTTTTAATCTGAGCTGTTGTTGGTCCCAATTATTATACAAAATTTTATTTTTTAATTTGTTACCCGAACAAAAACAATGTCAAGAATCAAGATTCTTTTATTTAAAAAGTACCAAAAAGGGCAGCTGGTCGTTAAACGCCACTGGATACAAAAAAAAAATAAAAAAATAACGCAGCCAGGACCAACGCCAGCAGGTATTACCCTCAGTTCAATTCTCAAATAAGGTGTTTTTAAGGTTGACTAGACTATATGCGTAGCCATATCATTATCTCATTGAGTCATGTCAGACCCAATGAACCAGTGAGAGCCTACTGAGTAACCAGACCAATTCTAAGTCTTCAGTAATCTTGTGTTAAGACTGTTAAAGAGTGGGCGTAACTATCCTTTATCTACAAGTTTCATTCTGAAAGCGGAGCAGTTGGCATCCCTGCGTAGATTATAGTGGGTTTTACAACTTTACATATTACACGTATAGGAGGATTATTAGATTTACTTATTAGACAACAAAAAGAGCACTAGCATCTTTGCAGTTTCACATTATTCCTGTTTTCCGAAATTCTTTAAAATACCCATATTTCATACCATAATTTTTGCAGAAACTCACAAATAATCTAGTGTTCCTCTGACCCCGACACTCTTATGTTAAATAAATCTTACACCTTATACTGTCGTCTTACAATTTATAATATTTGCATTTTTTTTAGATTTAATGGAATAATTATATTTTTATATTAAATAAATCAGTCTTATATTAAACAAATCTTACACCTTATACTGTCGTTTTACAATTTATAACGTTTGCATTTTTTTAGATTTAATAGAATAATTATATTTTTCTTCTCCAGCCTTTCTATTAAGATATCGTCAGTTTATAATATTCATTAGTTTAAATTTAAGAGTGGGCGTTACTTTATTGAATGTCTAATTGGTTTCAGTATAAAAAAAGTTACTCATTAAGTAACAAAAAGAGCACTAGCATCCTCATGGTTTCACATTATTGCTATTTTTCTGAAATTCTTTAAAATTCATATCTTTCACATCATAATTATAGTCGAAACTCACAAATAATCTAGTGTTCTTTTGAAGCTGACACTTTTATATTATCTAAATTTATACTTTATATTGTCGTCTTACAATTTATAACTTAAGCATTTTTTTAAAAAATTTAATAGAATAATAATTTTTGTTCTTCTCCAGCCGTTCTATTAAGAATTCGTCACTTTACAATATTTATTATTTCAGATTTAAGAGTGGGCGTTACTTTCATTGCATATCTAATTGGATCGGTATAAAAAA